AGCCATATACCTAGCCCATTTTGTATTTTATTTAGACAGGGTCTCAGAGACAGATCTCTGAGCTGCTTAATGCCTTGCTTTCGCTGAGGCTGGCTTTGAACTTGTGATCTTCCTGTCTCAGTCTCCTGAGCTGTTGGGATTACAGGTGTGCATCCCTGGGCCTGGCTCCTTTTTGCCTTTTCTGTAAGACCACCGGGCCTCCTTTTAGTAAGGCTGGCTGCAGATGAGGTTGGTTGAGCACTTGAGGCAGTTCCCATCCCACTGCTTGTAGTTCTCTTTGAAATAGATGGCCATACCACTTGTGGAAGCATGGTGATTAGAGAAATATATTTTGTTGACAATGTTGAGGGCTCAGCACAGGGTAGTAACTAGATCAAGAGTGGTATTAATTTACTTTCCTGGGTCCTCTTCCTCAGAACTCAACCTTCTGGGTGAAGACACTGACCACAGAGATGAAGGGTTTCTCTAGGCAGAAACAAAGTAAAGAAGTTTAGGATATTTGCAAGATAAACAATGAATCATGGGCGTCCAGGCTGGTTGGAGATGGTGCTGGGAAAGTAAAATGGATGAGCTTATGAATCCTGAGAAAGTAGAAAGATCCCAGATCTTTAGTTCTGTACCAGGCTTAAAAGCAGTTACTAAAAAAAATGGGAGTACTCCCCTGCCCTCACCCATTCTTGAGCAAGCCCAGCTGCAAGCAAAGCATGGGATATCTATTTTTTTTGGAGATTGTACTGGGGATTGAACTCAGGGGCACTGGACCACTGAGCCACATCCTCAGACCTATTTTGTATTTTATTTTGAGACAGGGTCTCACTGAGTTGCTTAGTACCTCACTCTTGCTGAGGTTGGCTTTAAACTCACAATCCTCCTGTTTTAGCCTCCCAAGCCACTGAGATTACAGGCATGTGCTACCACACCTGGCTGAAAGCACGGGATATCTAAAATCTGCAGTTCAGAGGTGTTGTACTTGAGGTTGATGGACAAAGTTCAGGTGTGTTCAAGACTTTGGGTGGGAAAGGATGAGAAAAAGGTCACACAGAACAAGAACTGGAGCCAGATTGTGGGTTGGTGTGCAGTTAACAGAGCAGACTGTTAAAAAAGTTTGGCTTTTGACTAAAATCTGGAAACATGGTTTTAAGTCAGTTCCCACCATTCCAGGAACTTGTCGGAGTGGTTTACTATATCTAAACTGTACAAAGTGCTTTACTTCCTTAGTGTGGTGTTCTGCCATGCACCAGGCAAAGGCTGCCTATATAACCAACCCCCAATAAAAACTCTGGGCACTGATTCTTAAGCACATCCTGGTTGGCAACATTCCACATATGACCACAACTTACTGCTGGGGGGAGTTAAGCACATCCTGAGGCTTCACTTGATCCCAAGTACCCTTTGAGAGCTGGAGCCTGGTTTCCTCTCGACTTGGCCCATTGTCTTTCCCCTTTTGCTTTTCATTGGGTATGGTAATCTCGGGGGGACCCAACACAGATGGGCATGTCACAAAGTTGAAGACATTATAAAGGATAATAGGGGAAAGAGGCATTAGATGATTCAAGATGAAGGTCATTACCAGGTTGTTAAGATGATCATAACTAAGAATCACTTGTACCTCAACAAGGGGAAGCAGGGACGCCACACTCAAATCCTAAAACACTGATGTTGGGAAGAGGTGGCAGTGTTTTCAGGGAACATAAGAGACATAAGAGAATTAATCCTAGATCTGCTTTAATTTGCACACCTATGTATGTCTCTACATTAGGGTTTTCTGGTATTTGAGGTACTTGTAGTAGTACACTAGTGTGGAGCAGCATTGTAGCTGGCATCTACTAAACTGTACACATCCTCAAGAAATCTAGGCAGCATTTCTCCTACTCTAGTTCAGTAGTCTCTTGTGGAGAAGAAGCAGTGCTAGCTAGTATTATTTTAATAGCCCCAAAGCTAGAAATTCCCCAAGGGGATAAACTGTGGTCTACTAACACATGGAATATTATGGATGAATAATATGGATGAATCCCACAAAGAATGCTGAGCAAATAAGCCAAGAATAATTATACACATCATAGTTTCATTTATATTAAAACAAACAAACAAACAAAAACAAACCCAAAAACCCAGCTATGATTGATGCTCTTAGAAGTCAGGGCAGTAGTCTTCCCCATCCCCCCATTTTTTCAGTAGTTAGTCTTGAGTAGGTGGAGAGTACTGGTTAAGGAAAGCAGCAGTGTGGGAGGATGTTTGGGCACTGTTAATATTCTGATTCCTGAGTTACAAAGACAATTATGACATGTATTTTTCTATATGTACATACTTTAAAATTAAACAGTGCTACCTAATAATTTCATGAAAAAAGAAAAAAAGTCAGTTTCATATCAGAACATAAACACCCAAATAATGTTAACATGGTGAGCTTTTCAGGTAATGGGCTTGCAGATGATTTTTTTTTCTTCTTTTCCTTTCCTTTTTGAAGGCGGAAGTGAGAGCATCACAAGTTCAAGGTCAGTCTCAGCAAAGGGAGGCCCAGGCAACTTGGTGAGTCACTTTCAAAATAAAAAAATAAAATGTGTTGGGGATATAGCTCAGTGGTAAAGTACCCCAGGTTCAATCCCCAGCATTAAAACAAAACAACAAACAAATAAAACCCCATATTCCCCCCTCCCTTTAAGCTGTTTTTATGATTGGAAAAAAACCCTGTATCTAATTCTTTTTTATAAAATACGGTTTCCTATGCTCCACATATTTGTGGAGACAAAGAAATGCTATCAATACTGGGGAATACAGCGAAGGAGAGCCTTTCCCCAATTAACCCAGAAAGAGAGAATTTACAAAATCTTACAGCACAAGCGAAATCCTGCATTGCAATGTTGAGATTTGCATTCTCATCAACAATCCTGTGTGAGGCTGACACCCGAGGATTAGGTGAGTATTAGGATTACAGAAGTACACTCCAGACACTTAGCAAACACACTCCTTCCTCTGTACTGGAGTGACTAAAAACCATTCACTGGAATTCATTACAATCTCACATGGTCCTAGTCTCCTCAGAGCCCCATCAATTTTGGCATTTTTCATCTCCAGACTACTGTAGTCTGGAGAAGGCAAGACTTTCTGGGCCACGAGCTCCCTTGCTGGCTGCTCTCAGGGGTTTCTGTGCCACTAAGCTGAGTGACTATGAGTCACTTGTAAGAAAGACTCAGTATTGAACTAAAATATGCTTCATCCTCAAAGAACTGCTTTGTTTCCCTAAAAACCACAACATGGTTTATATTTTAAAGCATTTCCTTAAAAACCAACATTATGACCTGAAATTAGACTCTGGTTTATTTTGATATATTTATGACTTAAACCTGAAAATATTTTTTTTTAGCAGTCAGCCAAGTTCATTACATATGAACTGAGCTGGAACTTTAAGGACACCCATACCACAGTCTGACAGCTCTGCACCATTACAGAGAACAAAAAAATCACATTAGATTCATTGTCCCATCTTGTGCTCTTAGGATCCAAATTTTCAAAACCACTAACTCTGGACAACTAAAATGAAAAGAAAAAAAAAAAATACACACACACACAAAGAAACAAACAAAACCCCTGTATGTTGCTCCTCAGAAGGCTGAGCCTGTTCCCATCAGACCAGTGCTTTAATCATGTACCTCTCTTTCCAGTGCAAACACCAATAGTTAGCTAGCTGGCTGGCTGGCTGCTGGCCAGCAAGCTCCTGCGCTCTCTCTCTTTCCTTAATTGACTAACTCCTAATCAGATGACACCTCTTCCAAGAAGCTGTCCCTGTGTGGCCAACTTAGGAGAGGCTGAGACAGCCTGCTTAGCAGTTTCCCATTTAGCATCCTCAAATCCAGAGAATAATGGCACTCTACCTTATTCTCCAAGTTTGATTCCAACTGGTCTAATATTTGTCAATGTTTACTTGTGTGTGTGTTGGAATTGAACTCATGGGCTTGCAAGTGCAAGGCAAGTGCTTGACCACTGAGCTGTATATATCTCCAGCCCTCGTCTGCTTTTGAAAATATAGTAATAACAGGCAAACCGAGCAAACTGGTGTCATCTGAGCTCCTATAGGAAGAGATCATGCACTCTGATTACCTTATAACATGACACTCCCCACCACAATTTAAACCAGTTTCATCTCTAGAGCAGGGAACTCCCACAACACATGAAGTCCAGACATGATTAGCTATAAAGAACGAAATTATTTAATCATTCTCAGGAAAAGAAGAGGTTGCTTCTCAGCATATGCAGTGAGTGCAGGGGTCCTACAGGAGCAGCTTCTCTGATAAGCAGATAACCCAGAGAGACAGGGCTAAAAGCCATGTTAAATTAAGAGAGACAACACACATTCATTTCCTTTGTTTATGTGAAGAATAAAAAACGAGGACTTAGTCTTCGAAGCAGACAAACCTTGAGGGAAACTTCAGTCTCACCCTCTCCTCCATATTCTATTTTCTCCCATATTCTATCCTACAGAAACATCCCCACCTCCTCTTCTAATTAGTCCTTCCCTGTCCTCAGTCCCAGTCCCAACCTGGATACTGGAGTTTTGAAAACTTGGGGAAAAGGATATGAAATTCTTGTGGTAACTCTACCAAGGCACTAGATCAGTCAATTATGATGTTGTATAATCTTCTCAAACCTGGCTGATCAGAACTACCTATGAGACTAATAGTACCTTATTGGCTTAGTTTTTTCATGTCACAATCTTTAACTCAGGAGTGTCTTATACTCAGAAAAGGAAGAAAAGAACTTTTAGCTTTCCTTATATATCTATAATAATAATAAATAAATCTCAAGAAACAAGTTAGAAATTGATTTAGTTATTACAGAATATAAACATTATCATAACTCTAATCACACACACATTGACATATATATTTTTTTGTGGTGCTAAATATGGAACCCAGGCTTTGTTCCTCCAACCTTATTAAAAGATGCTTTTCATTATATTTAATTTATATTGGAAGAGAATATTACTATTTAAGAGAAAGAACTTTGACAAACATTTTTTTATTGAACAGTTTTATTCTGTTTTAGAATAAAAACCTTGCTTTAATATTGTAAGGTGCACTGCAGGTACGCCATGCTGCCAGTTACTTTTGGGACAACAAATGTCCCAGTCAATGACCCAGAGAGCTGGGAAAAACGAGTGAACTCATACTTTCAGAGTGTGTAGAACTGGTATTTACAAGTTTTTCTTCTTGAAATTGGCCTGGGACTTCTCAGTCTACACAGGTATTGCCACAGCACTTGCTTTGATGCTCGAATGCCTCAGAAATATGTTCATTATCATGATTTGTGGGTCCTCCAAAAGGTTTAGTTGTTAACATGCAAGCAAATAGTACTAAACAATATTATCTAAACTATGGCTGCCAAGTACTGGATCTTAATAATGAAATCAAATTACAAAACATTTCCTTGTAGAGCTATACAAAAGATATAAAATTAAAATAAAAATATCAACCATCTTTAAATATTCCAATTCTCCTACAGTGCAGTTTTCCACATCTTTATCACTACTGAATGTTTTAAGGAGAAAGTTAACAAAAATCAAAGTAGATAAAAATATTTAAATCTTTGGATCCCTTTATTCCATGGCCTTCATAAAAACACAAAAGTGGCCAGATTTTTTCCACTATAGCTTAAAATATCAAAAAGATTTATTAGTAATTTATAATTAGCAATGAATTCTATACTGAGTCATCTGTGGGTCACAGGCCCAATGTTAATAATAATGTGTTACAAGTTTTCAAAATAATTTCGAACATTCTGAATCCTCTTGAAATATAATGGAATGAGTCAATGTTATCACAACAAAACTCCAGGCATATCAGGAAAAACAAGTTAACTGATGCCTAGTTTTAAAAGTCTTAAAAAAGGGGATGATTACTTATTTGAAAATACAGCTAAGTACATTCTTATCTATGATTATTTACATTCATATTCTGAAAATATTATTTGGAGAAATCCTGTGATATGCCATTTGCTACAAAATGAAGTTCTTACATTGAGCATGAAGAATTTATCCTTTTTAGATAATGGAAGAATGTATCAAATCTTCATTTATGTTCCAAACATTAAAAAATAAATCAAAAATATTGAGCCTGGAAAGACAAGGGAAAAAAAGACCCACCCATAACTCTGTTCCTCAGCACATCAACTTCTGCAAGGACACAGTATGTTTGCTGACTTTAAAATGTTTATTCTTTAAAAAATTAGTTGCTTTTTATACAGCTATACAAAGTTCTTAATGTTTCTTTGGCAATGGAATATAATGGAATTTTACAACTATATAAAAAAGTTACCTTTGCCTAAGAAACAGTATTTACTGTGTACATAGTTGACTGACAAAATTCTCTACCATCCAGCACCCTAATTGACGAAATAAGCTACCTCATATTATAGGATTTCCAAAAAGAAAGAGGAAGATAGACACACACACGCGCGCACACACACACACACACACACACACATACACACACAACCTTCTGTGGCTCAAAACACAGTATCACGGCCCTATCTGCAGGCAACTTGCAATAATTGCCAAATACAATTTAGTGATAAGAAAAATCCTTTCAGTGATGAAAAAATACTTATAAGTCCATTGAAGTACTGCTTTAGTTTAACTATACATAAGAAATTACTTAACCCTTCTGCTATTCCAAATATATTTAGTGCTCATTTTTTAAGATGAGCCTTCCTCCCCCCAAAAGTAACTGCATTGTATCTTTGAAATTAAGCAGAAAAATAAACAAACAAACAAAACCCAGTGCTGGTGACAAATATACAGCAAATTCACTTCTTCATTCTTCACAAAGACTGAAACCAATTTTCAGGACCATGAAGAGCTAGAAATTCACCTATTTTCAAAGACTTGCTTGTAGACTATGCAGCAACTTTGTTGTCTTTCTAAAAAGGTGGGGGAAAAACAACCCAATTAGTCCATGCTCCAAAATTACTGGTTTATCGATGAGTCTTATCTTTCTTTTCATTTGCTTCAGTTTATTTAAAAAAAATTTTTTTTGTAGTTGTAGATGGACAGAATGCCTTTATTTTATTTGTTTATTTTTATATGGTGCTGACAGATTGAACCCAGTGCCTTACCCATGCTAGGCAAGTGCTCTGCCATTGACTTATAGCCCCAGCCCACTTTAGTTTATTTTAAGTTACCTCTAAATACACCTTTACTTTCATGGAAACTGATTTCCAGGAAACATTTTTCATAACTTCCACACTAAGTAGAAGCATATTATGTATTTAACACATTTTTCAGTCAGCACAGGTTAAAGCAGTGTTATTGTGGGTTGGGTGGGGCAAAAAGCCACCCTAGATACAGGTATACCCCACTATCTTTGGTTGCCCAACTTAGTAATCAAATTCATCAAATATAACTGACAACTCTTTTAAAATAAGATTCATAAAACTGCAGAGTCTTTGAAAAGTCTTTATTAAGCAATAAAATACTGAGCCAGTAAAATAACATTTCCTGCTAGGCTCGGTAGCATACACCTGTAATTCCGGTGGCTTGGGAGGATGAGGCAGGAGGATCAGGATTTCAAAGCCTGCCTAACCAATTTAGCAAGGCACTAAGCAACTCAGTGAGACCCTGTCTCTAAATAAAATACTAAAAAAAAAAAAAAAAAAAAAAAAAGGGCTGGGGATGTGGTTCAGGGGTTAAGTGCCCCTGAGTTCAATCCCCAGTACCGGGGAGGGGGTGCTGGTGGTAGTGGGGGGGTTGGGTGGAGGGCGGCAAGGGGAAACTCTTCAAAATGTCACGTTAAGGGAAATCAATAATTCAGAAATCTACTTGTGGTGTGTGTGTACACGTGCATGCACACTCTCTAAAAACGGAACCCAGGGATGCTTTTCTGCTAAAGTTAAATCTCCAGTCCTTTTTAATTGTTATTTTGAGACAGGGTCTTGCTAAATTGCTGAGGCTGGTCTCAAACTTCTGAACCTTCTGCCTCAGCCTCCCAAGTTGCTGGGATTATAGGCATGCACCACTGTGCCTGGCTAGAAATCAATTTTAAAAAACAACTCACAAGGGGCTGGGATTGTGGCTCAGAGCGCACTTGCCTAGCATGTGCCTAGTAAGGCACTGGGTTCCATCCTCAGCACCACATAAATATATAAATAAATATATAAATAAAGACATTGGGTCCACCTATAACTAAAAAATAAATATTAAAAAAATAAATAAAACCCCCACAAATCAGAAGTAAGTTATGAAAAACAGAGTTGATGGGAAATTAAAAATAAAATGTAATCAAGTGAGAAAGCAATAAAAATCTAAAAGAGCCTCCCAGTGAGACTAATTCTAAACTAAAGGCCTGTATACAGCAGAGTGAGGGCTTCTATTTGCCTCCAAACTAACTGCTACTATGTACACACAGTTGGCCCTCCACATCCCTGGTTCTGTATATGCAGATTCAACCAAGTGTGGATAGAAACTATGGAGGAGATTCCATCAGTACTAAAACATATGAGAGGACATGTACAGGTTATATGTGAATACTTTGCTACCTTACTTTAGGGACTAGAGCATCCACAAATTTTGGTATTTTTGAGGGTCCTGAAACCAATCCTAAGTGGACATCAAGTAATGATTATAACTGATTTTTACTGCTAATTCTCTATTTTTGGTACCAGGGAATGAACTCAGGGGCACTCTACCACTGAGCCACACTCTCAGCCCTATTTTTGTATTTTATTTAGAGACAAGGTGTCACTGAGTTATTTAGTGCCTTGCTTTTTGCTGAGGCTGGCTTTGAATTCGTGATCCTCTTGTCTAAGCCTCCTGAGCTGCTGGGATCACAGGCATGTGCCACTGCACCTGGCTTTCTGATTCTTACTCAAATTTAGAAACAGGGTGAAATACTTAATTTCATCTATGTATATAGCAATATTTGTACAATGTTATTTGTACAGTATTATTAAATTGAATTATATGTGGCATAGTACAATGTTGTAAAGAAATAAATGAGCTAAAGATGAACCCACTGTCCCCCACCGAAGCCAACCATAACATCTCCCAATTTATTTGTTTTTTTACCTTTCAGAAAGCAGTACGACCAATCCAGACCTTTTAGGGTCCAAAAGCTGTGGTTTTCTGAAAGGTAAAAAAAAAAAAGAAAAAAGAAAAAAAGAAAGAAAAAGAAAAGATACAAGGAGAAAGAAAAGGGGGTGTAGTGGAGGAAGGAAGGGGAGAGGAGAAAATAATAGGGGGACAAAGGGAGAAAGTATCATGGTGTCATTTCAAATACCTTATGGTCTCTGGATCTTGTGAAGAAACAGAGACTGAAGTGCATACTTTCACCCACCCACTGTGGAGGCTTAACCTCCTTGGCAGCAGCATATAAAATAGGGGCTGGCTACATTCTTATTATTACCCTAAATCCTAATCTGCTCCTGCCACTGCCCCTCCCATTCCCCCCAAATAAAGGGGGGGGCGGGAAAAGGCACCAGGCATCACAGAATCAGAAGTTTTAAAACATTTCAGTTAGGGAAAAATGGGCCAGAAGTCAATGTAACAAGTTTTGGCTTTATAAGTTTGTACCTAGATCAATAACCTCTTAGGGTCCTTAGTTTCCTGACCATCTAACAGTCTGGCTGATTCTTTTAAGCCATCTAAAAAATCTATGATCCAATCTTTACTTACGTTTTCATTAAACAATCAAGTTTTGTCTGCTCACCCCAAATGTGTAATGATTCATATCAACACAGCACAAGGAACAAAGCTAATTCATTTCATGAAGGCTGCTGAGAAGGCACCTCTGGGAAGAAACACTAGATGATGTTTCAGAAATTATTTTATCCTTAAAGGTAAATTTCCTTTATGTAATCACTCACTGTTTCCAACCTTTAAAGATGCCAAGAAGATAGGATTTAGAAGGTGTAGGTTACTGAAGTTAGGAATATAAGGGTGGATCGATAGGTCATTAAACTCTGGAATGCATAAGGGCTACCCACAATGATGGAACTTCGGCTTTGATACTGATAAGCAGTAACTTCAAGGCAACCAAGGCTATGTGCTAAGATAGGTGTTTTGGTGGGGGAAAAGGAGAAAACAATCCTTAATGACAGAGGCTCCATCTAGCTGGCAATGCAGAACAAAAATAAATAAATAAACATAAAATAAAATATATGAAGTAGGGAACAATGAATGTATTAAAAATGCATACTAAGAAGTGAAAGGAGGTGCCTGACTTTTACCTATGTCTGTATCACCACTGAACTGTAAATACCAAGAAAACTAGGACAGATATATCTGTTTGTTATCACCAATGTCCAGCATAGTACTTGGCATATGTGAAAAATTCTGTAAAATTGGTAAATGAATGAGGTTACTAGAATTGGAATCAAGCTGTATATAATAGATGACCACAAACCAGCCTGCTTGAGTCAGACAGGTTAAAGGGTAATGAGAAATAGGGCTGGTATATCAACTGGAGACCCTCACAGAGTAAGAAAAGCAGGCCATACATTAGAGCCTTTTAGCTTTCAAGGCAATTGCCTCAGAGTTACTAGCACTCCTTCAAATTCTCAAGCAGGGGCTGAACTATCTGTGAGGAATAAAGACTCATGCAGATAAGTTCTACAATGCATTTGAATGCTGCAATAGCATGATTAAGATTTTTAACAAAAGACTCAAAATGACTATACAATATGATATGGCTTGAGAAAAAAATGTTTGCATGCCTATAATCCCAGCGACTTGGGAGACTGAGGCAGAATAGCAGTTTCAAGGCCAGCCTCAGCAACTTAGTGAGACCCCGCCTCAAAATAAAAACTAAAAAGGGCTCAGTGGTTAAGCACCCCTGGGTTCAATCCCCGGCACCAAAATAAATAAATAAATAATAAAAGAAATATTTATATTAACAAGTGCATAGCATGTACATGGCTTTAGGTCAATGAAGGTTTGTTGATTGAGTACTCATAGAAAGAGACATAATTGTTTGGTCATACAAAGCAAACATGACAGCTATTTTTTCAAATATCTGAAAAACCAGCATTAAGTACGTTACATGTTTTGTACAGGGATAGAGTTTCACCAAAAAACTGAAGATAAAGGCAAAGAGATTTCCATTCAAACTGTGTATGTTTCTGAGAACCTAACAACTAGGGTATTTCTGGGGTGAGGTGGGCATCCTGATAAGAGTCACTACCGAAGAGGCTTATGTTTTGGCCAGGTGGTCAGATCTCAGATGTTTTCCAACTCTGAGAGTTTAATAATTACTTAAAAAGTATGTTTTATGTTAACTAAAACATAACTTCTTTCCACAAATTTCAAAAATTGGTAGTCCAGATGGTTTAGTAAACTCAAATGAGATCATACCAGCAACAATTACTATAATTCTCATCTGGATCCAATGCTAATTTAAACATACTTTTTCTCAAACCAAGTTGACTCAGCATAATCTTCAACAAGGAGTTGCTGTTGGTTCTTCAAAAAGTAGATGAAGTGGGATAAAGAGACTGAATGTATGAAGATCCATCAGTGGGTTGTCATGATAACTGGCAGGGACATCTCAAAGGTAAGAATGCGGTGACATGAAAATTGATCATAATATGGATACCTTCACTGTGTGGATAGTATCTTTGTCAAGAGTCAAAATGGAACTCTGGGAGAAGGCAGAGCTGAGATGACTGGAGAGTGAAAAGATGATTAAGGTCAGTCTGAGGAAGGTTGACAGGATAGAAAGCAAGCAACGACAGAAAGGCAGGGCAGAAACATACAAGGTCCAAGCTGAAGAAGTGATTAGAAACTATGAGTAGATGAGTTTACAAAAGGGGGAGGGGAGTGGGGAGTGAGAGAATGGTCAAGCAAAGGTGAAAGAGTGTGAACATAAGCATGAATGCTTACAAAAAAAGCACACAGAACAGAAGAAATGGGTAAAAATGTCCCAAGATAGGAATAAGTTGGCAGCTAACAAGAGTAAAAAAGCCCACCTATCTGCTGCAGAGTAAATGAAGGAAAGATCTGTCCCAATGGCCACAAAGATAAGAGCCAACACTGGACATTTGACCTGGAGAAACAGGCAGATCATGAAGCACTTAATAGGCTGTTAAAGAGGACTTTTTTTTTTTCCTTTTGTTTGTGTTTTAAATAAAAAACAAGTGTATTAAAAGAATTAGGATGATCCTAAGTTGAGGGGGTGATCCTTATGTCAAATATTGCAAAGATGTTAAAAGGCAAATATTTATGAAAATGTGACCGAATTCTAGAAGCAAGGGATTGCTGACAACCTTGAGAACAATAAAAGTGAGAAGGAAGAGTCATTCGTAGTTTCTAAGACAGATTCTCTCAGCTGGGATGAAGATTTTCCAACTGCATCACCCACTGGGGTTAGATAGTGTGAGAGAATAACTTGAGGCTAATTAACAGACATGAAAATTAACAGACCAGATCCCAAAGCTATTGTTCTTCTTCTAGAGAGATCAACAGTGATCAGTTTTAAATACTGGACAATAAGATTCCAGCCAGCATGTCTTTCTGTTTCCAGCTTTCCTCTGCTATTCTTGTAGACTTTTAAGGTATATAGACCTTATATTTTGAACTGCTTTATTTTTCTTCTCCACTACTCCTAAAATTAATGAACTAGAATGGTTTACGGGGACTAGGACAGTTACTATGCTGCCTTAATTTACAAATGCCTTTCAGTAGACAAGTTATATACATAAACATATTATATATAGTTACAGAATTTTCTCATATCACAAAATTTTCAAGACTACAGCAAATCAGAAAACCAGATAAAATTAAATTAAGAAAACTGACTCAGGAACCCTATTGCTAGGTTCAACACTCAGCATCAGCATCATCATTTACAAGCTGTGTGACCATGAGCAAGTTATTAGCTTTGTATCTATTTTCTCAGTTGTAAAACGAGGATGATAATAATCTACATCACAGAGTTGATGTGAGATTGAAATAATATGTGAAAAACATTTAGAACAATGACTGGTACTTGTTAATGACTATATAATATGAAATAAATATCCTTTTCTTGTACAATGTGTCTATGATCCTTCCAATGTTTGCTTGGTTTTTCTTTTCTTTTTTTGGTACCAGGAATTGAATGGCACCACACCCAGCCTTCCTATGCTTTCTTAAAAAACAAACAAACAAACAAACAAAAATAGGCATGATGGTGATTACCTGGTTAATCCTAGTGGCTCGGGAGGCTGAAGGAGGAGGATCACGAGTTTAAAGCCAGCCTGAGCAACTTAGCAAGATCTGTCTCTAAATATAAATAAAATAAAGGGCTGGGGATATGCACCCCTAGGTTCAATCTCCAGTACCAAAAAAAAAAAAGCCCTGACTCAATCTATAACAGGTTTTTTACTGGTCAAAAAAATCTAAAACCATGCTTCTAAAATAAATAGTAAATAATCACATTTCCAACTCTTAACTTCTGTTGAAAAGAGCACAGCTTAAAAAATTTTTTCTTGATTCCTTAGACAAGAAGTTATTGTCCTTAAGATTATATAAACATGCCAATCAGGCATATTCTCCACTGAATACTCAAACTAGGTTATTCTAATGCTCTCAAAAATATTTACCCAAAATAGATAAAATAAAAACATTAATGCCAATCGTATTATATATAATCATAATCATACTTACCCTATATTCAAAATCTGCAAACTCCCTGCCCCCACGACCTCCTCTGAATCCACCACGAAATCCTCGAGGGGTAGTAAATGTACCACCTCTGCCACCACCACGCCCTCTGCCACCACGGAAACCAAGACCTCCTCTGCCTCTGTACCCTCCACGACCACGGTTTGGACGAAGTGGAATCCCAAATGTTTCAGCATTTAATCTTCTTTCTTCAGCCCAGGTTGGTCTTCGTTCTCTATTATAAAAGCAAATGGTCTTTAGCATACCAGGTATAAAAAAACATTTTTCAGCAAAAATACATAGCATTGACTCCCAAATTAAGGCCAAGTAATTCCTAAGGATCAATTAAAACTAAGCATTTAAACTAAGTAGTCCACAGCATATAAATTTAATATCTTCCTATAGTATTTGGTTACATTTCATGTGAACATTCTTACAAATATAGCTGATAAAACAAAGATGACAAAGGCACAAATATAATGATAATCAGATATAATGGGATTTGCAATTGGTTCAACTAAGTACTAATGGAAAAGAGGCAAAGCCAAGCAGGCAAACCTTGTCTTGAAGAAGCTAGGAGATGGAGGGTAGTTTCTTGAATCTCCAGTATGTTCCTAGACCAATCTCTGGATTTCATGCCAATTAACCTAGTCATATGTCTAACCCGTAGCTGTCATCCAGTCTAGATAACTGCAGTGCCCAGAAGAATCAGCCTCCCTATCCATTTTTAAATTGAAGTAAACAACTACCAGTAGATGGTGCCAACCTGCAGCAAGGACAAAACTCTTGAGTTCTGGATCCAAAGTCCTTTTACCTCACAATAATTGGACAATTTTCTAGACCCACATTTACTACAATATAACAGAGTTTAACTGTACTGGCAAACTTCAAGAAACACTAATTGTTTTGGTACTGGCTTCATGTAAAGTACAGTGTAGTGGGTGGGGTAAAGGAAAAGATTATGTATGTACATATGTATGCATTTTTGTAGTAGTGGGCATTGAATGCAGTGAGCTCTACCACTGAGCTACATCCTTGGTCCTTTTTAATTTGGGACAAGATCTCACTAAATCACCCAAGCTGCCCTTGATCTGACTTGTAATCCTCCTGAGAAGTTGGAATTATAGGTGTGTGCCTCTATACCCAGCTTAAAAGGTTAATTTAGATGTTAAAAGAATGCTTCTGTTTTAATTAGTAATATCCAAATGTGACAGCATCCCTAAACAAAAGTATATCGTCATTACTTCCTTTCACAGAACATTATTTAAAACTTTAGTATATAGAATGTTCTTTTTTTTTTTTTTTTTTGCACCAGGATATAAACCCAGAGGCGCTTAACCATTGAGACATATCCCCAGCCCATTTCATTTTTTTATTTTGAGGCAGGGTCTCTCTAAATTGCTCAGGGTTTCACTAAGTTGCTGAGGCTGGCTTTGAACCTACAATCCTCTTGCCTCAGCTTCCTGTGTAATATAGGTGTGCAACGCTGTGCCCAGCAGCATTTTCTTTTAATAAAATTAAACATTAAAAAAAAAAAAATCAAGAGGCTGGGGTTGTGGCTCAGCAAGAGAGCTTGCCTTGCATATGTGAGGCACTGGGTTTAATCCTCAGCACTACATAAGAATAAAAAAACAAAACAAAAATAAAAAAATCAATTATGAGCCAGGTGCAGTGTTGCATGCCTATAATTCTAGTGACTTGGAAGGCTGAGGCAGGAAGACAGCAAGTTCACAGCCAACCTCAGAAACTTCATGAGGTCCTAAGCAACTTAGCAAGACCCTGTCTCAAAATAAAATATAAAAAAGTTGCCAAGTGAGGTGGTACATGCCTATAATCCCAGCAGCTTGGGAAGCTGAGGCAAGAGGATCATGACTTCAAAGTCAGCCTCAGCAATAGTGAGGCACTAAGCAACTCAGTAAGACCCTGTCTCTAAATAAAATATACAATAGGGCTGGGGATGTGACTCAGTGGTCAAGTGCCCCTGAGTTCAATTCCCAGCACCCAAAAACAAACAAACAATCAAAGTTAAGTAAGTAAGTAAAAGTCTGGGGGTGTGGTTCGCCGGTTATGTACCCCTGGCTTCAATTCCTAGTACCAAAACAAAACAATTTCCCCATGGGGCTGGGATTGTGGTTCAGCAGTAGAGCGCATGCCTAGCACATGCAAGGCCCTGGGTTCGATCCTCAGCACCACATAAAAATAAATAATAAACAAAATAAAGGTATTGTGTCCACCTACCACTAAAAACAACAACAACAAAAAAATTAAACAACAACAACAAAAAACCCACAACATCGCCTCATAAATTGTGATCTTTTTTAGGTATACATTAAACATTGTAAATTTATAAGAAAACATTTTATACTTCAACATCATAAAAGTATAAAAATATAAGAACATTTAAAGGACTATACCTATTATCATCACACGAAATATTATCAAAGAAGGACTTGGTTTTGTCATAATAGCAATTAGGTCCAAGTGGATCTTCTTCATCAGCATTTCCTTCACTGTTTTGAGTATCAACTCCTGAGTCTCCTTTATCTTCACCATTTACTGGCTTCTCTTGTTTCTCAAGTTTATCTTCTAATGAAAAACAAATACATACCATACAAATCAAGACTTGTACTAAATAAAACACTGAATCTGGAAAACATCCTTAATCCACAATAAATAATTTCCTGAATAGAAAAACCAAAACTTACCTTTTAATTTAAGTTTATTATGAAACTCTCTGTCAATCTCCTCCTTGTTAAATTGTGCATTTGCACTTTCAAAGTCAAAGTCTTTCTCAAATTTCATTGGACCATCCCGCCGAATACCAAATCTTCCCCTGCCACCTCGATGACCTCCTCGCCCTCTCCTTGGAGCTGAGGAAGCACCTGGAACTATGTTAATAAAAAACATATACAAAGGACAATAAGTAGGTCATAGTAAATTTAAGACTGAAGTTGCTACTGTGGTCTTTATGGCCTAAATGATCAACAATAGAAATACTTATAAGTCTCTACATACATTACTATATTTGTATTTTTCCTATTAAAAATTTTTACTAAAGTTTAATGCACAGAGGAAGAATGGCATACATATCTGCCAAACATATGAAGAGCTAGAAACCTAATAGGTTCTCAAAACTTAAAACCTTTTGTGAAAAGTACAACAGAAAACAAGATGTACAGTAGGAAAAATAAACAAGCACTAATCAGCACAAACTGCAAAAGTAAGAGATGTTAATTCTACAACACAGATAAAAGAGACAAGAAGCACTAGTTCTCTTTGTTCTGAACACTTTCCATTTCATTTTGCTATCTTCCTCCTCTATCTGGCTCCACATTACTCAAGCCTTACTGTTTCTTTAAATAATTTAAAATAATTTTTTATTTTCTGACATAGTTGGACACAATACCATTTATCTACATACCTACCTACTGACTTATTTATTTATTTATTTTAATGAGGTGTTGAGGATCGAACCTAGGGCCTCACATATGTTAGATGAGCACTCTCTCACTGAGCCACAACCCCAGCACAAGCCTCAATGTTTCTATATATTCTCTCTTTATAATTTTGGTCAATCACATGAGATATGATAGATAATAAACAATACAAGGGGCTGGGGTTGTGGCTCAGTAGTACAGTGCTTGCCTAGCATGTATCAGGCACTGGGTTCGATTCTCAGCACCACATAAAAATAAATAAAGGTCCACTAACACTAATAAAATATTTTAAAAAATAAACAAATTTAAAAAATAAACAAAATATAATAAAATATTTTAAAAAATAAACAAATTCCTCTACTGAGGAAACCTGAGAGCAAAAACACAAGAATAAGAAGAAAAAAAATAGAGGAATATGGAATAGCGTTTGACACAAATTAACTAAAAAATGCAGAGAACAAAGCAGTATGAAGTTGATAATTATGAGAAAAGTTCAATAAATAGTAACAAAGGTCAGAAGTGCCAAAGGCAATAGTTGTTGTGATGCATGCCTGTAATCCCAGTAGCTCTGAAGGCTGAGGTAGGAGGATCACAAGTTCAAAGCCAGCCTCAGCAATTTAGTGAGGTCCCAGGCAACTTGGCGACATCCTGTCTCTAAATAAAATATAAAAAAGGGCTGAGGATGTGGCTCAGTGATAAAGTGCCCCCAGTTCAGTCCATGGTACCAAAAGAAGGAGTGACTAAAGGGTGAAAGGTAGGCTTGTGTTCACTGTTGAGGTTTGGCAAAGTGCCTGGATTTGAAAAAACAAACTGCAAAACCCCATGGCAGCATAGCCAGATGCTTCTTATATCTAGATAAGCAGGATTTTAAAAAACATTTAACTTTACTATTAAAAATGACTTGGCCACATACCAGGAAGTATGGCAAATCCATTAAAAAAAAAAAAGTTTTGGGCCTGGGATATATATAGCTCAGTTGGCAGAGTGCTTGCCTTGCATGCACAAGGCCCTGGGTTCAATCCCCAGCACCATATATACACATACACACAATTTAATCAGAGCTGGGATTATGGCTCAGTGGTAGAGCACTCCCCTACCACATGTGAGGTCCTGGGTTTGATCCTCAATAAAATAAACGTATTGTGTCCAACCACAACTAAAATATCTTAAAAATGTTCCGGTGATAATGTCTATGTCTATAAAACCTAAAAAAATGAACTCTAATGAAGGGGAAGAGTGATGAATTTTAAAGTCAATGAAAGATACTTTGAGAGAAGAGTCTGTCTCTTTTACCAAATTAAAAAAGAAAAAAGAAAAAGAAAAATATAGTAAATCAAACCAAAACCTATGAATTCTACGGCTCACAGCACAAAAATGTACAGAGCTGGGTATAGTCCTAGTTTCTTAGGAGGCTGATGCAGGAGGATCCATTGAGGCATTCAAGGCCAAGCCTGGGCAACACTGTAAGCACCCATTTCAAAAATGTACAAGAGAAATGAGATAGTGTTTACACACATACACAAAATTATATCTATGTTTCTAAAATTTAGAAAATTACTTATTTCCCATTATGTAAATAAGATGATTATACTTTTTTAATTTGGAAGAGTTTTAAATTATAATCTGATTTCCATTAGTGAATTTGAAATTAGTAATACAATGGATGCTTTTGGGAAGGTATGGATTATAAAATAAGTAAACAAACAAACAAAAAACAAACAGAACCATGCCCAAATCCTATTAGTAGGTGATATTTAGAACTATTATTGAGTATTTGTCCCCTCTCCCCCCGCCAAAGAGTATATTTGATTTTAACTATTCTTCATTTTAAAATAATTATAGACATATGGAAGGAAAAAAAAGTGCAGACTGGTCCGTTATACCTATCACCTAGCTTCTCAATGGTAATACTTACACACCTACTGTACATTATCAAAACCAGGAAAGTGCCACTGGCACAATATAATCAGCTTATGTACAGATCTTATTCAGATACCACAAGTTTTTGATGTTCTTATTTTCTGTTATGTCTTTATATATGTATAGGTCCATGCCACTTTACCACATATATAGATATGCATAACCATCACCACAACCAAGATGAAGAACTGTTCTGTCACCACAAAGACACTCTATTGTGGTTAACAATCCTTAACAGTTAACAATCCCCACCTTTCATTTTTTTATAATTATGCATCATACATTTAATATGCTCTCCCAGTTGAGAAGCATAGGATATAGCTTTCAGGTCCAAGTAACTTACCCACTTGTCTCTTGTTATCATTTCTGAGTTGCTCATTTTCTGGCCTTGAAACTTTGTGTACTTCAGCTATAGAAGGAGACATGCAAAGTGAGAAAAGAACTCAGGACATACAAACAAAAACTTCTGTAAAATTAGAAATGGGGGGAAAACCCACAAAACAAAACCTATGTAGTGCCCAAAAAGTACAGCCACCCCACCACCACTTTGACTCAAATTTGAAGGACTGACCATTCTATTAAGTTCAGTTTAAACCTTCTAGGATTATTCATATAAAGTAAATCCTCTTAATGAAAATAAGGTGAGGTGAAAATGTTGATCAGTCAATCAAGGAACAGTAAATTAAGCTAAAGTTCTACCTCGCCTGTGCTCTTGGTTCTCTATTGCTTTTTGGCTGGTAGATGGCAAAGGCCTGGTTGATACAGGGCTCCTTCTCCCAACAGGTGCTGGAGCAGGTAAGTGGGCCGAGGCGGTCTGTACTGCTTGTTCCATGGTTGGACTTTTTCTCAAAGGGTCTAACTGAGGGCTTGAACGACCTAAAATGTAACCAAAAGATAAGCATCTACCCTAACCTGGGATTTCAAAATAACCTAGACCTTAAAAAAAAAAAAAAAAAAAATCTAGAGTTTTCTTTTCGTGGAACTGGGGATTGAACACAAGGCCCTGTGAATGTGAGGCAAACACTCTACCACTGAGCTATAGCCCCAGGCCCTAGAGTTTTATTTCTAACAATTCAAATTCTTCGCACAAATGTGAACTAATTAAAACTGGTTATCTTTATTGGTCTGGTCATCATTCTAAAAATTTTTTTCCTCCTTTTTTTGGTACTGGAGACTGAACCAAGGGGTTCTTTGCCACTGAGTTATGCCCCCAGTCTGTCTTATTTTTTGAGGCAGGGTCTTACTAATTTGCTGAGACTGACATTTCAAGCATGTGCCATTAAGCTCAGCAGTCTGGTCATTAAAACAGAACAAAACAAAGACCCTTTACACTTCCACAACTTTTATCTGTGTTTCTACCTAGTGGAATAAAGTTTCTCAAAAATTGTTGCTCAATACAAAATTCCTGGGATATCAAAGATCATGCTAAAGGTAGGAAAAATGAAGGCTATGCCAATAATAACCACCACAAGATAATACTGACACATTTAAATGTTTCGTATTTTCTGTAGATGACTAATGTAGTACCTCCTCATGAAGTACTACTAAAGAAAGTGAAGTAGGTGTTTTTTATATACCTTATGTATTTGGGCATTAAACATCAAAACTAAAAGGTGAGAAACAAAAATAAACCCTTCAAATAATTACACAGTATCTATACTAATTCTTTGCCATTTTAAAGCTCAAGAGATCTTTAAAAGCAAGTTTTTACTTTTACCTGGGGGTTTGTACTTACAAATGTTTTCATTTTATGAGGTCAGAACCTAGTCATAGTTTTAACTGAAGAATACAACACTAGGTATTACTATTATGCTTTTTTTTTTTTTTTTTTTGCCCCTATAGTGTTTGCTATTAGTCTCGCTCAGGGAGCTCTCATATTTCATGATATTATACAATATAATGTTTTACTTAAAAATTATGCTCATTTTATGCAAAAACATTTCCAAGTATGCTACTGTCTATGTGTAGGCTCCAAACAAATTTGGTAAACTGTTGAGCACTGGCAAACACTGGTTAATGTGTACTCAAGATACTTCAGGAACAATTTATTAGTTTACAGTGATGTAAAGTGTGCAATTACAAAAGTGTATCACCATTTCTAGCCATTAATGGCAAAGTCACTTTGGCCAAAAATTTAGATCTAGATCACCATGAAAACATTTAAAAATAAAGTTATCACTAATAGAAACACCAGTTTTTCCATTGATCATAATGGGAAATCTTGGTGACTCATATGAGCAACATTTTATATTTTATAATCATTCATAAAACAAAAAAATCAAAAAACAAATAAATAAAATGAAAAGACTCTTTGGAGCTAGGGTCTCATTGTATTGCCCAGGATGGCCTTGAATTCCTGGTTTCAAGTAATCCTCTTGCTTCAACTTCCCAATAGTTGGGACTATAGGTGCTCACTACCATACCTAGCTTATAAATATTTTTTGAAAGTATTTTGCCTCAGTTAACTTTATAGCATTTTATATTTATACAATATAGTTAATTTTACTACATTGCAGTAAAATATAATTCTACTATATTGTAGTTAATTTTACTACACAAAATGATCTTTCTAAAGCTCTTTATTAAACCTTTTCTTTGAGAAAAGATCCCGTCATTCAGAAGCACTAGAGAAGTACATAAAATGGGGCAATCAGAGCAAGTGACAAATTAATTCGTTTGTGTTTAAAACATTTTTTTTACAAATATAGTTTAGTAATCATGATGACAGTTTTGCTATAAATAGGGTAATGTAGGTAATGTGGGCATAATATAGGAATAAATCCAGAAGATGTTGAGTAAAAATAAATACATCCTCTTGTGTCCTCACATTCTCTTTTAAAAAATTCACTTTAAAAAAATGTTTTTTAGTTGTAGACAGATACAATACCTTTATTTTATTTGTTTTTATGTGGTGCTGAGGATCGAACCCAGTGCCTCACACATGCAAGGCAAACGCTCTACCAACTGAGCTACAACCCCAGCCCCATGTGTCCTCACATTCTTATCACAGTTTAAAGAAAATTCCAGGTGTTTTAATGGCCACTCTCAGCCCTTCTTTTTAACAATTTTATATAAATATACCTCCAACTTTAATTAATAAAATTGTACCTAAAATTTAACATTTAAATTTATTTTAAAAAAGTTTTTGGGCTGGGGATATGGCTTAGTAGTAGAGTGCTTGCCTGGCATGTGCAAAGCCCTGAGTTCAATCCCTAGTACCTGAAATAACCTCCCACCAAAATCCTCTAAATGATCAGGAACTACTGTCTGCCCCAACACCATTCACTGGAACAACTAGTTTTTCTCCATAAATTTAAAAATAATAATACTTCTATCATCTATTAAATTCTTTTTCTTTTTGCTTCCATGTCCTGCTATTTATGTCCAAGTTTATTTTAAAGACATTTTTTCTGCTGGGTAAAGTGATATAAGCCTGTAATCTCAGCAACTCAGGAGGAAGAGGCAGGAGGATCAATTTGAGGTTTGAGGCCAGTGTTGGCAGCTTAGCAAGACTCTTAACTCAAAATAAAAATTTAAAAATGGGAGCTGGGGGTACTGAGGCTGTGGCTCAGTGGTAGAGCACTTGCCTAGTATGTGTGAGGCAATGGGTTTGATCCTCAACACCACATAAAAGTAAATAAATAAAATAAAGGTATGGCGTCCATCTACAACTAAAAAATTTAAAAGGGGAGAGGGCTGGGGCTGTAGTTCAGTGGTAGAGTGTTCCTAGGTTCACTTAAGCCCCAGCACCCACCCCCAAACCAACCCTACAAAAACAAACAAAAACTTTCTGTTTAAGTTCTTCTTCTTTTTTTTTTTTAATATTTATTTTTTAGCTCTTGGCAGACACAACATCTTTGTTGGTATGTGGTGCTGAGGATCGAACCCGGGCCGCACGCATGCCAGGCGAGTGCGCTACCGCTTGAGACACATCCCCAGCCCTTAAGTTCTTCTACTATTCCACTTGAATGGATTAAAAGTGCAATAAATTTAATTAGTAAGAAGTTAAGTCTTCTCAATACTGAATTTTTCTCCAAGGAACAAGATGTGTTTCTCATTATATGTGACTTCTTTTATGTCACTGTTACATTTTGCATTTTTCTTCATATAAGTGGATCCATTTCTTATTATGCATCTTATACATAATTTCCTATTTCTTACTGTTGTGAGCCTTTTCTTTAATCCTCATTATACTGTATGAATTAAGTGATTTGGGGGTATTTTACCTCTAATTTAAGTCCCTTCCTATTTCTAAGTTTTTCAGTGAATTCTCAATTCCAAGAAAAAATTAACATTGACAAATAATGCTAATTTCAATATTTATGTTGCTTTCTTATTGCCTCATATATTCCTGATTTAGCTAAAACTTTTTAAGGCTGAGTAGTAGTGATAGCAGGCATCTGTATTTATTAATAAGAATTCTTCTGGGGGCTGGGGATGTGGCTCAAGCAGTAGCACGCTCGCCTGGCATGCGTGCGGCCTGAGTTCGATCCTCAGCACCACATACAAACAAAGATGTTGTGTCTGCCGAAAACTAAAAAATAAATATTAAAAAAAAAAAAAAAAAATATTCTTATGGGATTTCTATGTTAGGTTTGATATTGACTACTGATTAAGATAGCTGATATCTACTGAGCATGTGCTGTCTGAGGCACTATGTTAAGAGCACTGCAAACATTTTGAAAATTTTAATTCTTACACAAAATGTAAATATTATTCCTGAGTACTAAGTTTATGATTATTTTTATATTTTTCCTTATGTTTATTGTATTTTTATGTCATTGATAACAAAAGTGTTAATTCTGTGATTACAGCGTCTCTTTTTTAAAACATTTGTTTTTAGTTGCAGATAAAACAATACCTTTATTTATTTTATGTAGTAATGAGGATCGAACCCAGTGCTTCACACGTGTGAGGAGAGCACTCCACTACTGAACCACAAGTCCAGCCCTGATTACAGCATCTTTCTAAAATAACTTTACATTGCTCTATTAAAGAGTAAACATTCATGTAAAGCAATGAACCAATAAATACCCACATTAGCAATGGAAAAAAGCTGACTGAAATCTTGTGACTACTGAAGGTTATGAGACTGGCTGATGGAAAAAGTTTAAAAATAAAACAGGATCTTTTAAGAAGCTTATTAAAATGCAGATCCCTGCTCCAGTGATTTTGATGTAGTAGGTCTCAATTAGGACCTACATTTTCCAGAAGTGCTCTAGACGACATTGTTGTGGGTGGTCCACACTGAGAATGACTGCTCTACATCCTATTAGAATGTTAGGGAAGATGCAACAGTACAATGAATAGTTCATTTTTCTCAGATAGTATTTCAAATTTATATAGGCTAGCTCATCTTCAGTGGTAAATCTGGTACTGATTTGATATATGTAAGTGCCATTCACAAATTACATAATTGCTTTAAAAAACACATTAAACATAGAGAATGTTCACCATTCAGTTTCATGATCTAAGCAGTTTAAAGTCTAAATAGTATGTTATTCAATGACACATTAATTACAATACAATAACTAGGAGAAAAAAATTAAAAGAACTAAATAGAAATTATACATGTAATTTACAAACTGCAAAAGCTCAGAGAGAGTAAAAAATCACTATAAAAATTTAGAATGAAAAATATCTGAAGGGGAAAAAAAAAAGGCTTACCTTGAGATAACTGTGTTTTTATAGATCTTGTATCCTGTGTAAATGCAGAACCAACTGCACTACTTTGGGACAAGGTACCACTGTTTGATGTTTCTGTTCCAAAAGATGTCAAGGAGCTTCCAGCTTGAAGATTTTTTTTTTTTTAAACAACAAAAACAAAAACAAGACAAAAATAAAACCTTTCAATTATATAAAATATCATCTTAATGTTGTCTGCTTATTCCATTCTATAACACTTATACAACTTAATAATTCTAAAAATTAAGTGTATAAAATAATTGTTTGAAGCCAGGCATGGTGGTGCATGCCTGTCATCCCAGTGATTTGAGAGGCAGAGGCAGGAGGATCCCGAGTTCAAGGCCGGCCTCAGCAACTCAACAAGGTCATAGGTAACTTGGCAAGTCCCTGACTTGCAAAACAACATATAAGGGGTTGGGGATATGGCTCAGTGGTTAAGCACCCCTGGGTTCAATCTTGACACCAAAAATAAATAAATAATCACACAAATAAAATAAAACAATAGTTTGGAAAATCATGACAATGTAGGGTGAAAACGTCAATTCAAAGCCCTGGATACTTGGATGCAAACAATTTTTATACACATGTAGAAGGGTCCCAGGTGCAAATACAACAGGAAGGATACACTTCAGATAAAGAAGTAGCAGAAATGGTACATTTGATACCAACATTAAGTTCAATTATTCTGATACCAAGTATCTGCACAAATGGCCAAATTAACAGACTAGAAGCTTCTTCGGCATTTCCAAGGCAACAGACAAAAGATCCCAGTTTCAATGCTTTACCTTAAAACGGGATTGTGGAGCTGCATTCTGCTTAAAACAGCCACATAAAGTTTGGGTAATACAGTCCCTGGAAGGGATCAAGTTATCTTCCATGCTTGGTTATGTTGATCCTCTATAAGTTTCTACAGAACTTCTGGATTATTCACTTTTTATATACTGTGTTTTTTTCCCATTTAATATTATTTCAATAGTTCCCCATCCTCATCATCTAAACTCAATAAAGATGATAACTAGAATATTTTATAAAATAAAATTAAGAAATATAAATATAATCACATTATTACTGTCAAGATACAAGTATGAACTACTTATCTCAATTTATAAGGCCCCCCTCTTATATGTCTACCTCTTTTCTGATCACTTTCCTTCTTTTAACCAGTCTAGCCCACAACAGCATGCCCCTTGCAGTCTGTTCATTCCCAGAGTAGGCAACTCCATTCCTTCAACCATTACTAACTTTACATGGTCTTTAAGCTACTCTTCCTTACTGATCCCAATTTAATGAATTCTACTTGTTTATCTCTCTCTTAAAATGGGGCATCAGGACATAGCACAGTATCTCAGAGTCACTAAGACTCCTTTGGAGGTGCACTTCAATTAGGCAGTGCCATTCTAGCCAGGTCATGAAAAGACCAAACATAAACTCCTACAATATTCCTGGGAATGCTGTGATTAGCACTTTAAAGAATTCTGTGGGGGAGCTGGGCAGTGGTGTATGCCTGTAATTCCAGCAGCTTGGGAGGCGGAGGCAAGGGGATTTCAGAGTTCAAAGCCAGCTTTTGCAACTTAGTGAGACCCTATCTCAAAAAGAAAAAAAAAGAATAAAAGAAAAAGAAAGAATTCCATGGGGGATCTGAATCAATCTCATTAGCTCTAGTTTGAGCAATGACCAAAACATAAGCTACTTTGATGATGTGTATTCTTAGCCCTATGCTGCTCTGTGCTTCCTCACCTCAACCAATCTTCCTCTGCTGCCCCCTGGAGTAAGCATTCTACATCTTCAAATTCTTCAAGTTTCTGGTCACACCACACCAATTATTTGTACCCCAATTCTGATTTATATTATAATACACCTCAAAATATTTTTTATGAATAAGTAAGGTCAAGGTTTATATTTTCCATAGATATTCAGCAGCTATACCACTATATGTTAAAGTGGCGTTCCTTTCTCCTTCCAGCTAAACTGGAGCCTTTTTTGTAAGTCAGTATCTGATGGATTTACCTCTTTTATATCCTTTATTCTTCATTTCCAATGTATTTGTCTATCCTTAGGCCAACAAAGTTCTGATTACTGTAGCTTTATAATATGTCTTGAAATTGGGTGGCACAAACCTTAAACTTTCTCAAGATTGTCCAGGATACTCTTTTTTAAAAATTTCCACATAAATTTTAGAATCTGCATGACAATTTCTATTTTTAAAATATCTGAAGGATTCTGATTGGGATTACAATGAATCAATTTAGCGGAAGGTATCATCTGAAATATACTGATTCTTTCAATCCATAAGCATGGATTAATTTTCTATTATATAGATCTCCAATCTTTTCAGGTTTTTTTGAGTTTTATTTAACCAAAAGTGTTTCTATACATTTAATCAGCAAATGTCCCCTTAGGAAGGAGAGTCAAATGACTCCCTCTCCAGCAAGAACTGCTGTTACAGAGATTTAAAAATAACTTGTTAAAAATCCCTTTTTTGGGGGGTGGTGTGGTAGGGTGGTGGTGGGGGTGTGTGTGCGGCTTGGGGAGGGGCTGGGGGGCGGTGTTAGGGATTAAACCCAGGGCACTTTACCACTGAGCTATATCCGCAGTCCTTTCTTTCTTTTTTTGGGTACTGGGGATTGAATTCAGGGGCACTTGACCACTGAACCACATCCCCAGCCCATTTCTGTATTTATTTAGAAACCGAATCCCACTGAGCTGCTCAGCTTTTGCTGAGACTGACTTTGAAGTCGAAATCTTCCTGCCTCAGCCTCCACAGCTGCTGGGATTATAGGCATGTGCCACTGCTTGGGGCCCCTTTTATAATTTTGAGACAGTCCTGTTAAACTGCTGAGGCTGACATCAAATTTATAACCCTTCTCCTTTCTAAGTTGGTGGGATTACAGGCATGCAACACTGCACCTAGCTATATTTGTAGTTTATTGATGCTATTTTAAGCAGTGCTATTACACATTTCAATTCCTAATAAGCTGTTCTATATCAGGTATCAACAGGCAAATACAAGCTTTGTAGGCCATATGATCCCAGCATAATGACTCAATTCTTCCCTTGAAGGTGAGAAAACAGCCATAAACAACAAGTAAGTAAATAAATATAGTGTGTTCCAGTAAAACTTTATAAAAATAGAAGCCTAGCTGGACTTGCCATATAGGCAAGTTTGCCAGTCACTATTTGTTCTAGAGTACAATAGACTTCCATATATTTACCATGTACATTAACCTTTTATAGTTAATTCACACATTAATTCTAGTGATTTTAATATTCCTTTACAATTTCTACACAGTCACATCACCCTAAAATAAAGCATTTTTAGTTTTCTCTTTCCATCTTTAAGCCTTTAATATCTTTTACTTGTCTTAATGTAAGGGATAATTTTGCCTTTGCTTTATTTCTGACATCAGGGGAAAACTTCCATCATTTCACCATTATGTTAGTTCTTGTTTTTCATTTACAGAAATGATATATAGTTTAGGAAATTCTCTGGGTGTTGAATTTTATCACATGCCTATTTGATATCCCTTGAGATGGCTACAATTATTCTTGATTTTGTTAATAAGCATTAAACAACTTTACCATTTCGAGATAAACCTCACTTTATCATTACATAATCTCCTTGTTCAGAATTGCTGGCTCTACTAATATTTTGTCAAAGATTTTTATGTTTTATGACTGTTTCTGGGACACAGATCTGTAATTTTTTTTCTCATAAGATAACGATCTTGTCAGATTTGGTTATCTCAGTTACCTAACCTTGGTTATCTTGTTAAGTACTTCCTCTTCCTCAGTTCTCTGAAAGAGAGTGTATAGTATTAGTAAAATACTATACACTACATTAGTGTATAGTATTATCTTTTTCCTAAAAGCATAGTTGAATTTACCAGTAAAGCAAGTCTACATTTTTTTTTTGGTGGGAGATTTTAAATTATAGTTCCAACCTCATTAGCAAATACTGAGATTTTATTTTCTCTATGTTGGTTTAAGAAAGTTGTATTCTTCAAAGAATCTGTCCATTTCATCTAAGCTGTCAAAACTTAACATAAAGTTGCTCATAATAGCCCTATATTATTCTTTTTTTACTTTTTAAAGAGACAGGGTCTTGCTATAGTACCCAGGCTGGCCTTGAATACCTGGGCTCAAACCCTTGTGCTGCTGAGACTATAGGCATGTGCTCCTTATATCATTCTTTAAGGTCTATAGTTATCCCTGCTCTTTATTATTATAATAATTTTTGTGGTGATGGGAACTGAATCCAGTGCCACCCACTTGCTAGGCAAGTGCTCTACTGCTGAACTACACCCCCAGCTCTACTTTCATTCTTTTTCCTTTTTTTTTTAAATACTAGGGATTTTTTAACCCAAAGGTGTTTTTTTCCACTGAGCCACATCCCCAGCCCTTTTTTTGTGTTTTGTTTAGAGACAGGATCTCAATGATTTGCTTAGGGCCTTGCTAAATTGCTTAGGCTAGCCTTGAACTTGTGACCCTCCTGCTCCAGCCTCCCCAGCCACTGGGATTATAGGTGAGCACCATCACCTGAGTGGTTTAAGACAGGGTGTCATTAAATTGCTGAGGCTGGCCTTGAACTTGAGATCCTTCTATCTTAGCTTCCTAAATTGCTGGGATTACAGGTGTGCACTACTATGCCTGGCTACTCTTATTCTTTATACCTGGGTATTCTTTCTTCTTCTCTTTCCTTGATTGGTCTGGCTAGGGACTTGTCAATTTTATAAAAATTTTCAAGGAAAACTTTTTTGGGGTGGGGGGGCATTGGGGATTAAACCTAAGGGTGTTGAGCCACATCCTCAGCCCTTGTTATTTTGAGATGGGGGTCTTACTAAGTTGCTGAGGCTGGCCTTGAACTTGTGATCCTCCTGCCTCAGCCTCTTGAGTTGCTGGGATTGCAGGTGTTCACCACCACAACCTGAAATTTTATTACTGATAATTAATTTATATCATATAATGACATGTTTCTATTTTGTTGATTTTTGCTCATCATTTTTTTTCTATTACTTTTGGGATAATTTTCTGTCCTTTTCTAGTTTCTTAAGACTACAAATCTTGATGTTACAATTTGTAGTCATTAAATTAAAAATGCCAAATTA